CCAAGTCTCCTAATTTGGAAAGCATCTCATTCGAGTGGTGGGATTCTTGGAGACATTGGAAAGCGAACGACGTTGAGGAGGAATCGGTTGGCGATGACACAGATAACGACGACGCTTCTGGAGACGAGTCGGACGGAACCCTGAAGGAGTCGTCCTCAATTGGCAGTGTCTGGGAGTTTTGATAAGGGCGAGGCCTAGGACGGCCGTCAATGTTAGATTTTCAGCCAAAAGCTGGGCCATTGGTATGTACCACGCTTCAGCGAAACCAATTTGCCGGTAACGGGCATGAGCAACCTGGGCCCACTTTGCCAGTGTCTATCAATACGTTCACGCCCCTATCCAGCATCGCGAAATGGCCAAATTCGTCCGTGCAGTATCGAAATGAGGCCCCGGAAGTCGGTTTAGCCGAGTAACGAGAGCCCCGCAAATTGTCTATATAATCTTTGCTAGGTTTTTCACACTTACTCTGGAAAGCATCCGGGTCATTAACTTTTGTTCATCGTCTTCCATTCGCTGGTTCCACGGTCCGCAACACTTGCGTTGACTCAATTAGTGGACTCTTATAACAACGTACTACAAATGGCGAAAGTTTCAGAAGAGTACGATTTTAGGGTCGTTCAATGCAACGAGCCCCTGCCATCAAAGCGCAAGCGAAAGACACGACGGGGCTCCAGTAGCGTGGGCGCCGAAGTGACTAAGCGACAACCATTTCCCTTCTCCAGTTCAAAAGTCTTTCACCGTTATCGCGTAGTGCCCGGCGCGCAGTGGTCCCGGTTGCAGAGCTACAGATGTTTCCTCTGTTAGAGAAGTGCCCGACTTCCACACCTCGTACAATTAGCTAATTGGTAAGCGCAGTTCGGGGCACTCAATTCAGGATCGGAGATTTCGTCAGGGTGGCAAACCGGTTGACCAGCCAGGACAACCCAACGGATCACGCTGTCAGGGATTTGAAGAGGCCCGAGAGAGACTGGATTGCCTATATACTGGAGATCAGGGCTGCTGACCAGTATCATGTCTTTGCCCGAGTATATTGGATGTATTGGCCCGAAGACATACCAAAACGTCTCATGCAAGACTTGACGCGCATTCGTGGGCCAGAAATATTCCACAGATCACATGAAGTCATTGCCTCTAATCATAGTAAGTCCTGAATTCTGCGGTGCCCCTCGGTCCTGTAACTCAATCATAGCAGTGGACATCATCGACGTGATGAGTGTCAATGGGCTCGAAACAGTGAAACCGATGAGAAGTTCACGACGCGACGCGCGAAGCAGTCAACTGTTTTGGAAAGAATCTTTTGATTGCTTCCAGAAGACGATATCGGGGGACATGGGATCAAAGCAGTGATTTCATTCGACGGTAGGGCAACTGCATTACGCTGGATTCGCATGGCTTAGTGTCAAGACTTGACGATTGAGCATAAATATTATAATATTTAGTAAAGACAGTGAACGGGGCGGTTCGCCTTAAATTAGAACGAAAATATTCCCGGGTTTGCCAACGATAACCGAGTCTGGTAGAGTGACATTATATCGGCCGCGTAACCGGATCAAGCTTGCCGTATGGGGATGCCGAGGGATGCTTCGTTGTGGTCCATCGTTCGGATGATTGTGCCGGATAAGAATGATTCAAGCGAGGCGAAAATGAACAGAAAACAGGAGCCTAAGATTCTTACTGTGACGATGGACGTCATGTTATCCTTTTACGAGACTTAGTCGACGAGACTGTTCTTCGAAACCACAACATCGTCATGTCAACTGGCGCCGAATATCACCTCCGCGTCGGTGCTCTTTACCCATGAACCAGATTTTCATAACACATTTGGTTTCGGTGTGCCTTGCATTACAGTGTCATTCGCCGCTCGTCAACTTTCATGACGTGTCGTTGCAAGTAGACATAGAGATCCACGTGTCGGATGACCAAGCCGGAAATCCAGCCACAGGAGGCGTAGAGGATGATTTTGGATATTTCCAAGGCTACGTGAGGAGACAAAGAGGACTTTTCTTGTGGGATTACGGCCAAAATTGACTTTCATCTTTGCGTCCTGGTTCAGTTTGGGTGTTGGTTACCTACATTTCGGCTGCGCCATATCGAGGCTGGTATCGACTCCAATGGCACAAAGAGCTTCATCCGTCCTTTATCACACACGTTTTCGAAAGCAAAAACCCCAATGGGAGCCCAAAGTCCCCATAAGTCGTAGTAAGTACTGGTTTATAAATCATCCTCTATCAGATTCAGGTCAGAACTATTATTCAGTTAAAACACGCATTCCATAGCATCTCATCTCCCGTCCCGCGCAAGATATTCATTTTCACCGTCTTTCCAACAGTCAGCCTCAACACCTCTAGGCCCTCGATCTAGGCAAAATGGATTTCGACAAGCTAGATATCAACGACCCGAGGGTTACGTCGGCCACAGCTTCTATCCGCGGCAAGACATACCATTATCTGCGGGCTGATCCGGAAAAAGAGCCCCTTGCAACAATCTTCCTCATCCACGGATTCCCAGATCTAGGCTTCGGCTGGCGATACCAGGTTCCGCATTTCACATCACTGGGCTATCAGGTCGTGGCGCCGGACATGCTCGGCTTCGGCGACACTGCTGCACCCGACCAGCCCAGCCAGTATGCCTTGAAGAGCATTGCCGAAGACATCAAAGAGCTAGCAAACGCGATCGTCAAAGACAAGAAAATCATCCTTGGGGGCCATGACTGGGGTGGCGCCGTGGTCTGGCGCACTGCCATGTGGTTTCCTGATCTCGTTCAGGGCATCTTCAGCATTGGCACCCCTTTCATTCGGCCTTCGTCGATCTTTCTTTCACTAGACGATGCTACTCGTAGCAAAAGGCTGACGACTCTGAGGTACCAGCTACAGTTTAGGGGTACAGAGATCGAAGACGAGATAAGGGACGAAGAGAAGGTTCGACAATTTCTCAATGCCATGTTTGGAGGGGCCAGCGCTGAGGGCGAGGTCGGTTTCAGCATCACAGAGGGTGTTCTCTTCGACAACCTCCCTAAAATAGACCAATCCCGACTCATCTCAGGCCATGAGCTAGACCATTATACTTCGAAATACTTTCGAGAGGGGGAGCCTAGACTGAAGGGGCCCCTCAACTGGCATCGTACACGCGCGAAAAATTATCTTGACGAGCTGCGGCTCTTGCTAAAGCCGATCAAGTTTTCTACGCCAGCGCTCTTTCTCGCTACTACGAGGGACAAAGCATTGCCGCTGAGCATGTCGGATGGGATGGATCAATACTTTGAGGACTTGACTCGTGGGGAGGTTGAAGCATCCCACTGGGCTCTATGGGAATCGCCTGCCGAGGTCAACAAGCAAGTATCGGCGTGGTTGGAGAAGGTGCAGAGACGAGATGCGCAACCGACATAGACGGCGATCAAGCTCTTGGTCAGGAGACATGGGCTCCTCTAGTTCAGGTTGCGACACCATATAAATCTTCAACATGCTTTTTGATCAGTTCCATATGAGGATAATATAGCCGATTAGGTCCGACCAGACACCAGTGCACAAGCAGCGCACCCCAAACCGCACAGAAATTGCCAGGCGAGCCTCATAGGGCCGAACAACACGCTAAGTAAGTTATGTAGAATACGGTTCCGGGAATTGAGTTTATACCAGTAAAACCCCCGCCTTTCTCTTCTCACGCCCTTCTTGATCACCTTGCTTGACCTTCCTCCTTGTAGACATGTTTTTATGAGCGTTCAGAGTGCTACCTTCAGCATATAAATCAAAGTTCATCAAATTGAGGTTGTTCTATGTTAAGATCCCTCCATCTTGATGAGTAGTATGTTGCTGTGTCCTAGTTCGCACTCAATCTCCCTTCCTCAATTGCAACTTGATTGCTGTCCGCGTAACCTGCAGTTTAGGTGCTTAGTTCTTGTCAAATATTAGGGTGAAAAATTGTGTATTATGTCCCCTGCCCCCATGTCTTGAGGTTTCAGGGCAAGCTTTATATACCCTTTCTCTTCTGTATAGAATCAGCTAGAAGCTGATTGCTAAGCCTCGTGGCAATAGGTGGCAATAGGTGGCAATAGGTGGCAACTTTCGCCTCTGACGTATCTGACAGTTCTCGCCATCCTATAACGCCTTGCCTTCTAACACGAACCCAAGCTTTCGTAACTTTGTTTGTCTGATCCGTCACATGCCTTCGTGCTGTGTATCCCCCTTCATACATCAAGAGAAGCAACATTGCACCATCTCCGCTACTTATCCGCCGTCGCAGATGCCCGGTTCCACTTCACTTCTGAATGGCTTTTGGGAGGGGCCAGAGAGAGCAACGGTTGATGGTGATGCACTGATACATCAGCCGAACCGCCTATCTAGGGGTTTTTGGACCTCTGTCTCGTTTAGCATTGTAGATCACCTCCACTGCTACCGTTATCCAGTGCCTGTATGTGTCTCACAGCAATGAAGCCATCCGTCATCGCAGGGCAGATTGTTGTCCCTGCGCCATGGGACCCAAGTGTCGCGGCTGATGCATTTCCCGCAACATATAGCCGGCGGATCACATCGCCATCCTTCCTCAGCGCTCTTGCAAACTCATCGCTTCGGAGACCTCCCCTTGTACCAGCATCGCCAGGGAAGATCTCAATGGCATAAAACGGGCTCGTTTTGACAGGCCCCATGCAGGGATTTGGCCCCACACCCGGGTCTCCGATGAACTGCTGGTACCTGTCTTCGCCCCGGCCATAATCCTCGTCTTTACCGGAAACGCACATCGCGTTCCATCTGTAAAGCGTTGCTTGAAGTGCGCCGTCTTGGATATCCATCTGTTTCTCCAAGTCGCTGATGGTGCTGGAGGTTAAGATCAGACCTCGGTCAACAGCCTCGCTGATACGCATGGTCGGTTTGAGACTACCGATCGTGTATCTGCGACTGTATGTCCGGTCGACAATGAGCCAGAAACGCGCCTTTCTAGCGTCTGCTCCCGCTCCTACCCTTGCATACATGGACCTGACTGCGTCACCGTAGGGCTGAGACTCGGCGAAGAAACGGTGGCCCGTGTCATCCACGACGACAGAGAAGGGCTTGGAGATGGCGAACATAGCTTCCGTCACCTGTCCAGTTCTGGGATCATTCATCGTGGGAATACCCCAGACCTCGTCAAGCTGTCTGCTGTCGGCGCCAACGTTCTGGCCAACTTGCAACGCGATGCCTGTGTCGCCATCTGAGCTGAGGCTCCATTCCTTCCTGGTCTGCTTTCCGAAATACAAAATGCCGCATGCCCTGGTGATTGGAGAATCCACCCGTGGTCAGCATCACACCCAACGTCGCGTGGATATCCTCAGAGACTGTATCCCCTCCGCGTTGAGCCCTGGCCCCCGCCACGCCGCCGTCGTCAAGTAGCAAGAGATCCTGCAGCTCATACCTGGTCCAGATCTCCACATTGCCGCGATCCATGCATATCTTGAGAAGCTGTGCGACGACCGATCGACCCATCGACATGGGCCTTGACATTCCCTTTGGCACGGGCGAAAGATCTGTACAGTGCGCCGAGGCGTGGGGCCGTGTCAGGATCCGGAAATCCTCAAACCGAGCAACCACAGGCGCTCCATCTGGGGCGGGCAGGTACTTCAAGTACGGGCCTAGGCAAGCTGCATCGAAGACGGCAGGGTCGAGGGTGCGGCCTTGCTCAACAGCGCCATCGGCGTTTGGATGGTAGTCTGGAAACTTGGAAGGCGTGCTCATCCATCGAAACCCTTGATCTCGAAAGAAATTGATCATTTCAGGACCTTGCGTTAAAAACGCGTCGACGCGCCTGCTGCGCAAAGGGGCATCGGCTGCGTGTCGACGAGAAGGCGTCGGTATCGCTTGTGTGACAGCGTTGATGTACCGCGCCCCGAGTGCTTTGCTATCCTCAATGCCATGCTTCCGCAGAAGGAAGTTGTTTGGCATCCAGATGGTGCCGCCGGATCGGAAGGTGGTGCCGCCCACATGGTCGGCCTTTTCGACGAGGATGACTCAGTTTTCTGTCTTGGACAGCTGCTGCGGCGGCTAGTCCAGCGGCACCACCACCGATGATGAGGATGTCGCATTGCGTAGCTTTTCCTCCCTCATCGATCTGCGTCTGGTGAGGGAGATCTTGGGTCACAGTGAGGCCGTGGGGCTTGGCCGGCAACTGGGCTGTGCGCTCGTGCTGGGAAGACATGGCTCGCTCTGGCAAAGAGAGTGGAAAGTTGTATGGGCGATTTACGTGTCGAAGGCTTTAATCGAACGGATGATTACGAGGCTGTCTGTCTTGGATAGAGCTTTCATCGATTGAAATCACATTGGGCTTCTATCATCAGCATCGAAGTGAGTTGATGCTTTGTGTTTCATTATCTGATTTCAATTGCTACGGCCGAAATTTACGTCCCAAAGTTGGTTGAAGTAGGCATGGTCCTAAATGTGACTCGTCCCAAACCTCGCAACGACCTTGAAGGCACTACATACAGTGAGTCTTCCTTGTACCGCACAAATACAATACAAGGTACACACACACACACACACAATTTATTTCGCCCGGTGGCTTATAACCAATAAGGTACAGTTATGCTGAAGGCAGTCGCGAAGTCTGCGCGAGATGGGCTCTCCTAAAGTCTTTTGTCTGTGCCTGTTAAGGCCCCGATGGTGTCTCAAAGGCAAAAGCATGGTCGGGCAGCCAGAAAAATGCCCCTCCACTAGCAATCCGCTAACAGCTGCGGGGAAAAATAAACTTTTCGAGGGAAGAGTAATTTAATGGAGGCTCGACGTGACAGATTGCCAGCCGTAGGGTAGGTAAAACTCGAAATCACACATAATTACGAGGGGAAGATAGAATGAGAATAGGGCTATCATTTCTGACACTGATGTGGCGCGCTAGGTACGAATTCAAGTTCTACTGCGTGAGTTTTGTCCGCCACTATGTGGATAGTACCGATGACTCTGCGTTCTAACATTTCTACCCAGTCTTTACGACGACATCGAGTTTCGATAGTGAAGCCAATTGTCGGTGTCGTCGAGCACCTCCAAAGATTGGAAGCTGGTTTCGAGGAGCGATTTCAGCCCGGCCTTTCTCCCACCCAATCAAATCACCAGTCGGTTTCTCCAGGTTCTTTTAGAATGACAGAGTAAACCATGGGTTAAATAGATGCTCGGTATCTATGTGGAAGCGAAGCGCTCTATCTGCACTATTAATGCTAAGGCGGACTAATGAAAAGTGCATCAGCGCCTCCAATATTACTTCAACAAGTCTTCTATATTAAGCTAGTTCGGACATTTTAATACATCCCGTAATTGTTACTCCAGGGCTTATCAAGGTCTGTTCTTGGCAGCCCTTAGATTGCTGTCCCCGACATCAGAGATGTGATACATTCTGTGGGTTCGAGGTGTCCATGACGTGGATGAATAGTTGAGAGAAGCAACTGTTGAGGAGTCAGCATTGGGCTACGAGCAATATGTTTGTTAACTGTTCTATAGATCTTCTGAAACACCGGCCCTCCATCTGTCTTTCCCGGATATATGTGGTACACGAGCAACATACTTCCTCGGGCCCTCAACAGCAGCAGCCGGTCAACCTTAGCTTCTGGCCATCATTCCGCAAATGAGTCGTAAATTCAAATAGTTTCAAGCTATCGTCCTTGTTAGCTTCTAAAGAAGCTAGGATGTGATCTCAACACCAAGCTTACAATGCAATTCCAGTCCGGCGTGGGTTGGTCCCAAGGCACATAAGCCAGACCAGTCCAGCCCCGCGCGGAGGGACTGTAGTAGGCTACAAGACAAGGAACGCCACACGTGCGCCCGAGCCTGCGGGCTGTGTTCTCAAGAGTGCGCCCTCTTTTTCGGATGAGTGCTGCTTGGTAGGGAAAGCCCTGAAGCCTTCTCAGTATTTGCTCTGGAAAAGACTGATGACGTCTAGGTAAGAAAAAAAAAATACCTCAGCGTTTGCATCGGGATTGTTTTCGGCAATGGATCTTGTGCCAGCCCAAGACTGGCTATTCAAGTCCCAAAAACATACAACGCAGGAAGTTTTCCCATCCCTCCCGAGGCCGATGGCCCTTGACAAAAAACTCTTACCCGCCTTTCGGGCGCAGACTAGCCGCAAATAGTTCGTCCCTGAGCCAGACGGGGATAGCTCCTCTGGTTTCTTCCGCAAATTCAATAAGTCCTGGTTGAGGTCTTCAGGCCGCTCCCAGACTGTATGGTTGGTAAGGTCGAAGTCATTGAGACTGCGGATAGGGCCAATAGAGGAAGAGTGAAGATTGTCTGCCTGGTCCTGAGTGTTCATTGTGTCGCGACGTGGGGATTTTCGGCAAAACTGCAGTGCATGTAAATGATTAAAGCGTGGACAAAAGTGGCATTCTGCCTTGATGGACAAGTCGTGATCGGCCGTAGATATACATACCAAGGCAGCCGTATTTGGCCACGCACGTTTTACTCCCCGGTTTTATATGCGGCAACACGGTCAAAATCAACCCTAATGAGCCAGCAATGGCTCCTATTGTATGAAGCGCACACCCGCACCAAAACCTGTCACGTCGTCTGGGAATAACTTTTTCATACACTGGTGTGTGTGTATTGTTTATGAGTGTATCCGTCCGTTCCCGTCCATCTACTTCCATCTATGCATCCAAGTATGTTCATACCGCTGTATCGGCTTACACGCCCTTTATGCAGCGCACTCCCCGACAAAACCAGCAATGGGGACGGGCTCTGTTGTTACGTAGACACCTGCAGTGCGCAAGTATGGAGGTGCATTACTTTACTGACTCCGCTCGTTTTGCGGCCGAAATGGCGCGTGCGACGTTCTGGTTTGACCACAAGAGGTCAATTTCAGCCACCGTGCATTCAGTCGCGCGAATCCTGACAGCGGGCGGGACAAACATCCGACATTGGGCTTGCCAGGAATGTTGACCAAGTTCAATACACCCGTGATCGGATACCCTAGTAGGCCGATAAGCCAAAATTGGTCCGCTGGAGGGCGTAGTAGATTTTACAGGCTTGATAAGTTTTATAACGGTTTCCGGATTACACGTCCTCGCGATTGGCTCGTTTGGCTTTTTGGTCGCTTAAGTGTAGACATACAGCGGAAATTCACACGGGCCCGCATATGGAAGTATTAGAAATGTAAAATATGAAAAAAAAACCCTTGATTTCTATTATTTGGCAAGAGAAGAATTTGGGGCCCATGAATAAGCAGTGAAGCTGTCTATGCAGCAATTGACTGACTGGGCAAAAAAAAAAAAAACCAAGCTGGTAATGGATGATCAGCCATTAAAGTGTAAGAATGCCAGCTGGAAAAAACCAGATATGATATAGTTTGGGCCTTTCAGAGTGCTGTGACTCGTAAAATGTGATCGTCGCCTCTGAGAGCAGTGTTCAATCGTCGTGGGCTTGTATGCGATCGTGGCCTTGCCTTTGAGAGCAGCGCTCCATCGCCGGCTTTGAGAGCATTGCTCTATGTGATCGTGGCCTCTGAGAGCAGTGCTCAATCGTCGTGGGCTTGTATGTGATCGTGGCCTCGGAGAGCAGCGCTCAATCGTCGTGGGCTTGTATGTGATCGTGGCCTCGGAGAGCAGCGCTCAATCGTCGTGGGCTTGTATGTGATCGTGGCCTCTGAGAGCAGCGCTCAATCGTCGTGGGCTTGTATGTGATCGTGGCCTCTGAGAGCAGCGCTCAATCGTCGTGGGCTTGTATGTGATCGTGGCCTCTGAGAGCAGCGCTCAATCGTCGTGGGCTTGGCCTCTGAGAGCAGCGCTCAATCGTCTTGGGCTTGTATGTGATCGTGGCCTCTGAGAGCAGCGCTCAATCGTCTTGGGCTTGGCCTCTGAGAGCAGCGCTCAATCGTCGTGGGCTTATATGTGATCGTGGCCTCTGAGAGCAGTGCTCCATCGCCGGCTTTGAGAGCATTGCTCCGAGTGCTGTGACTCCATCCGAAGCAGCAACATCGTTCCTGCCCCGTCGTTCTTCCAGCTCACCCGATTGGCGGCTGCAAGTGGGACCTCGCGTAGATCGCTGGCATGGCTTGCGCCTCACCCGCTCCCGCTTCGTCCACCTAGGCATGCCTAGGTCTCAACCTTGTCCACACATCTCGATTGCCATTGAATGGGTCAGTGACTTGGGTCGTGCCTCAGTTTTGGGTCATTCGAGGTTCGTGATGTAGGACACGGTCTTCCAACGCGTTCCTGCTTTTCCCCACAGGGAAAATTTTGCAGAAACGCGTTGAGGGAAAGGGGAAAGAAGATCCGGAGGCATTACGGGAGGATGGGGGAGATATTTAATTACAGTCATGACGCTAAGGGGAGACGGAGGGAAAAGGGCCAAATCGGCCACCAATTTTCTGGCCTAGCGCGACCTTCTGGCCGAGTGCGCAGAGCGTCCCAAATGCGCCAAACGTGCCAAATGGGCCCAACATTCCCGTCTTAGGAGTGGGAGGAAAAGGACCAAATCGACCGCCAATTTCCTGAACGAGTGGACCCACCATTCTCGTCTTCAATGAGGGTGGCCGGAAGAAGCGCTGGGCATCGGCAAATGACTTCTGCATCGCATTTGTCCGTTCTTGACCAAAATTTTCAGCAGTGGGTGGGTACTCATGGCTGAAATTTACGTTTCTTCCCGAAGCACGTGCATGCCATCCCAACACCCTTGAATCGCTTTTCGACGCTTTCCGATCGATCGAGAGAGCGAGCGAGCGGGCAGGTTGAGGAGCTTGTCACGTGATGAACCGTCCTTCCGTAATAGCGATTCACTTGGTTGCGAATTGAGGGGGTCTATGGCTATTCGCGTTCTTGAGGTATCTTAACCTAACATCTACACAACGCGGTTTGATCCCTTTTTTGACAACGTTTTCGCCATGGCTTCCACGCAGGATCTCGAGCTGCGGCTACAGCAGCTTCAAGAGCAACAGCAGCTTATGTTGCAGCAGCAAGAGCTTCTTCAAGAGCAACAGCAGCTTATGTTGCAGCAGCAAGAGCAGCTTTATTTGCGGCTCCAACAGCAGCTTCCTCAGAAACTTCAGGAGCTCCGTCAGCAGCTCCGTCAGCAGCTCACAAGCCCCCCTCCCAGAACCGCCCCGCCGCGGCGTCCAAAGAGCCGGCCGCGCTACCCAATGTTGCAGCAGCAAGAGCAGCTTTATTTGCGGCTCCAACAGCAGCTTCCTCAGCAACTTCAGGAGCTCCGTCAGCAGCTCCCTCAGCAGCTCACAAGCCCCCCTCCGAGAACCGCCCCGCGGCGGCGTCCAAAGAGCCGCCCTCGCCGTCCCTCTGGCCGCCCTCCCCCACCTACTGAAGCCCAAGTGGAACAATCAATCAAGTTCGTATATGCCTCTAAGAGAAGTTGGCGGATGGCTTACTGGCGGTTATCACAGGAACGAGGTCGGGACTGCTCGGTCGATGCTGTCACAGGTGCCCTACGCCGGGTCGGCTTGACGAGATACATAGCATGCCAGAAGCCTCTGACCACAGAGCCAACGCATCAAAGGAGACTCGCCTTTGCTACGCGCTGCCTCGGCTGAATCCTTAGCGATTGGAAAGTTATTCCTCGGCCTGATGAGACCCGGGCTACCGGGGAAGGCATACACGCACATGGTTCACGCACAGACCCGGCGGAGAGCTCGATCCAACCTGTAGTATTAAACAGCATCAGCGGAAGAAGGGATGGGTGTTCTGGGGCGGCTTTTCTGGGCTCTCAGGCAAGGGCCCTGGGGTCTATTGGAGGAAGGATTGGGGCTTGATAGGAAACTACTAGCTATATTGAACATATCGTCGCTATTACTATGGATGGCATCGTCTTCATCGGATCAGGATCATATCTTTATGCACGATAACGCACCTGCCCACGCCGCGGCCGAGCTCGAGGTTCGAGGGTCGCATGGCCGCCTGTTTCGCCGGATATAACCCCTATTGAGACCGTGTGGAATGATATGAAGGAGTATATTGGGAAGCACTTCCCGGAGGATCAAACTTTACGACCGGTTGCGAGCAAGGGGCTATTACTGTAGAGTAAATGACACAGCGTTATCACGCTCTTGTGAATGCTAATAGAATGCATATTCGACTCTAGATGAATACCACGGCCAAACTTGCTGTATACAGAACGCACCTAACGCAATAGATTCATGACAAACCATGCAAAAGCGAGTTTTGTCTTCGACCACCTGAATCTTTCTATTGTCTAAATATCAGTAGGCCTTCCCGCAATCACGTCCAATACTGGTTGATCGAATGCTTGTTGCTGAAGCGCCAGGAGATGAAGAGGGACGGTCGAGCAATCAAGGTGCTAAGATATCTTGGCCTGCACACGATCAAAGCCATGCCTCCGAAGACAAGGGCCATCCTTCTTTATACCATTAAATCTTCAAAAGTCTACTCTGCTATAATCGTTTCTGGTTACTGAAGCAGTGACAGTTCAAACACAGCCAAGTCCATCTCTAGGTAAACTCATTAGATGTTCCATGTAATGACTGATCAAAAAAATGGAGGAAAAGAAGGAAAAGACAATTCAAGCATCCAAACATCGCCACCAAGACACCTCTTTCCCTTTATCTGTAGCTCCATTTGAACTTGATTCTCATCTCATACTGGGAAGTGGAGAGAGCTCATTCTGAAATCGCGAGGCATCTAGTGACCCTATCATAAATCTACTCGATGAATTAGAGTATCCTACCCTGGATAGGTTACGTCACCTAGAGGTCCTTGTCTTAGAATGTGCCACCGACATGACACGAGACATTGATATCGATTCCTCGACTACATAAACAAAAAAACGCAAAAGAGGGAAACCCTCTGTTGGCCACACCATCATAATATCTGACTATCGTATGGTCTTTAGCGACGAGGTTCGCTGCCTTTGGTGGACATCTCGATAAGGTCCATTGTTGCATGTTCTCCCGTCACTCCGTGACGCACTTGGTCTTGTTCTCCTTGCAATACAGTCTCGGCCTCCTGAAAAAAGGGCAGCAAGATTTTCTCAACCAAATTATTCGGCAGTTCTCGTACTCTACAATCGTTCAGCGTCTCAATATATTCTCTTTGAGATAAAAGATATCACTCACTCCTCGCGCAATGTCGAAACCCTGCAAGCAACCATGTCAGAAAAAAAAGGCAAAGCAGAAGTTCAAGGTCGATACGTACTGTTGTACTACTTCCCTCATTCTATCCAATTCAATTGTTAGCAGGAGCGGCAACAGGGGGGGGGGAGGAAGGAGCCGAAGACTACTACGTACTGCTGAACCAATTCCCTCGTTCTGCCCGGTATAACGGTTAGCATATAGAGGCAGGAAAGCGAGATCACTCGAACTATCCAAGTACTGACGTTTTGTCCATTCTAAACAAATGAAGTGTCAGCACACGATACGTCAGAGTGGAATTAAGGCCAATCCAGAGGGGAGGGGGTGTTTTGGGAGAATCACTGTTTGCTTTGTACCCTGGCAGTCTCAAGAAGCTGGTTCATGCGCTGCTCCAGCTCCGGATGACTTTGACACGCATTCTCCTGGCCGTAGTCGCTGACAAAGTCGCCGACAAAACCGTCGCCATAGTCGCCGACAAAGTCGTCACCGTAGTCACCGACAAAATCCTCACCATAGTTGCCTCTACTATCTGTTCAGCTCGTGCATAGTAGAGAGGCTCTCTATGCTGGTATAAAACGAACCTTTCATCTTGATAGCCGGGACTTTCGTCTCCTGCTGCCTGGTAAGCTGGAGACTGCGGACCAAGCCGGGCAACTGTCCTTTGCCTCAGATGAGTCGACTGGGGTGGGCCCGCAAACTGTGGGCGACGAGACCAAACATTGGATCTACGTAGCCTCCAGGCTATCCGATACTGGGTCGTGGTGTATGGTTGCGCACGAGAGACATGGGCCCCATGGTGATGTCTTCGCGGAGGATATTTCATGATGAGACGCGCGGTCGAAATTGGGAATGAAAACTATGATGAGAGAAAGCGGACGTGAGAAACTGCGGGTGAAATTCCTCGCTTATCAAGGGTGCTTGGACCCACGGCCTGAAACGCTAACGATGGCAGCGACCAACAGGTGTAACAATAGGGTAACCACCCAGGTCCAGCCCGATGAGCCCCGCCCGGAGTGGAGAGGTGCTGAAATTAGAGTGGGTCCAATAGAAGCTAGAGCCACTTTAACTGTGACAAGCGGACTGATCATCACGTCGGGAATCAGCTGCAACGATGGATAATGTTAAATGTGGCTACGAAATGACAAATCGATGTAAATGGCCCGATAGTACTGTATTGAAGTTGATAGGTCACCTCGATACGAGGCCAGTCGGAGGGACTGAATTGGACAGAGGGCAAAGGACACGGAAATCACCTTTTGTTTCCCCACTGAACAAGCTAAGTTGTGGCCCTTCGTCAAAGCGCCGAAAACGGGATCGGTAACCCTACCGGAGCAAAGAGTTCTAGAAACATAGTTTATTCTAACTTATCTTAGTGGCCGCCACTGCGGCAAGAACAGCAGCTATGATGTGACGAATCAGCTTGACGCTCTTTTTCGACCCAAAGTTCGGGGTCCTTCGCGGCAAGATGCAGATGGTTCATTCTACCCGACCCAGACCTCCAGGGCCGCTTGCACCCGTGGCTCAGCTTTCCGTCATTGTTCATCCCAGACAGCCTTTTGAGAGGCGCTGAATGGGGGACGGATGAGCGAACTGTGGTCTACCCTCCAGCACACATAGTCCCAGGAGCGTTGAGGCCCATCATCCTCATATCTTTCAATCCCGGCACTTCACTTTCCCGGGTTCGCGAGTTCCGCTGCAGCTAGCTCCAAGCCTCCTCATCACCAGAGCAAACGATTGATCTGTTTCAGGCTCACACTGTCTGCAGTCCCCACGTACATAATGCTTTAGATAAATGAGCCCAAAACAGAACGATGAAAGTCTTGATAGGTCAAAGCGTTCTGGCAACGGAGAGACTTCACTGCGATGACGTTGAAAAGAGATACGTACCATATGATATATGGCGGCATCCGAAAGTTTCCAGTGCGCATGACCGATTAACAAAAGATTTGGACTTTACAACGGTCAATTTTAGTCTAATAGACTTTCGTACACTCTCTATAATGCGTACGTGTCGACGGAATCTCCGCGGATGGCTACGAAGGGCCAAAGTAGACTTTTTTTTGCGGAGAGAGAAAGGTGGAAGCTTATCGTGGCGAACGGGTTGGGTAGTCGCGAATCGCCGTTCCAGCACGGCGGCTTTTCTAGACAAGTAGACCGAGGGCCGGTTTTGTCAGTCGTCTGAAAAGAAGATACACCGTCCGCTGATGTCCAATTTACACCGCCCCAGAAGGACCTAGTCAGGCTTTTCGCCTCATTCAGACTTGCCTATCCTGATATCATATCTGATATGATAAATAATCCTGATATCAGGATAAAACACTGTCCTGATATGATGTCAGCTTATTGAGAGAGCAGCGATGATATCAGGCTAGCAGCTTTAGCAGCTTTAGCGGAGATGATGTTAAAGGGCAATATTTCATTCCATTCTAATCTAAACCATCATCTAAAAACGTTGGCCGGATTTCGCCGACGTCAGTGCCGGTCCCGGAAGTCTACGATGAGTTATGACAGTAGGCCGAAGAGCGAACATTGGACCGCTGGAGGGCATATCCAATTTTACACGTTTGGCATGCTTTACACAAGCTTACGCATTACATGTTCACACGATCGGCTCGTGTTGGTTAGTCTGGCTTGTTTGGCCGGTTAGATGGAAAGACAATACGGGAACTCACGTTTGGTCGCATGTGGAAATGATAGAAAATGTAAAAAAAAACTAAAAAACTCTTGACATCTTTTATTAGCCAAGAGAAAATTTGAGGCCCATAAATGCGCAGAAAAGCTGTCTATGCAGCAACTGACTATCTGGGGAAAAAAACCCAGGCTGGTAATGGATGATCAAGCCATTAAAATGTAGTAGTGCCAGCTGGAAAAAAAACCAGATATGAGATGTTTTAGCCATTCAGGCGAGTTCAGTGACTCTTGTAATGTGATTCTCATGAATAAGCAGTAAAGCTGTCTATGCAGCAACTGAATGGAAAAAAAAACCAAGCTGGTAATGGATGATCAGGCCATTAACGTATAAGAGTGCCAGCTGAAAAAAAAACAGATATGAGATATTTTGGGCCTTTCAGAGGAGTGCTGTGACTCGTAAAATGTGATCATGGCCCTTGAGAGCAGTGCTCAATCGCGGGCTTTGAGAGCATGGCTCTGTGTGATCGTGGCCTTTGAGAGCAGTGCTCAATCGCGGGCTTTGAGAGCATTGCTCTGTGTGATCGTGGCCTTTGAGAGCAGTGCTCAATCGCGGGCTTTGAGAGCGTTGCTCTGAGTGCTGTGACTCTAATGTGATCATGGCCGTGAGCGCGGTGGCTCTGAGTGCTGTGTCTCTAATGTGATCATGGCCTGAGTGCTATGACTCCCATGGCCTTGATCATGGCCTGAGTGCTATGACTCCCATGGCCTTGAGCGCGGTGGCTCTGAGTGCTGTGACTCTAATGTGATCATGGCCTGAGTGCTATGACTCCCATGGCCGTGAGCGCGGTGGCTCTGAGTGCTGTGATCATGGCCTGAGTGCTATGACTCCCATGGCCGTGAGCGCGGTGGCTCTGAGTGCTGTGACTCTAATGTGATCATGGCCTGAGTGCTATGACTCCCATGGCCTGAGTGCTATGACTCCCATGGCCTGAGTGCTATGACTCCCATGGCCTGAGTGCTATGACTCCCATGGCCTGAGTGCTATGACTCCCATGGCCTGAGTGCTATGACTCCCATGGCCTGAGTGCTATGACTCCATCCGAAGCAGCAACATGGTTGCTACCCCGTCGTTCTTCCAGCTCACCTGATTGGCGGCTGCAAGTGGGACCTCGCGTAGATCGCTGGCATGGCTTGCGCCTCACCCGCTCCCGCTTCGTCCACCTAGGCATGCTAGGTCTCAACCTTGTCCACACATCTCGATTACCATTGAATGGGTCAGTGACTTGGGTCGAGCCTCAGTTTTGGGCCATTCGAGGTTCGTGATGTGGGACACGGTCTTCCAACGCGTTACTACTTTTCCCCACAGGGAAAGTTCTGCAGGAACGCGTTGAGGGAAAGGGGAAAGAAAATCCGGAGGCATTACGGAAGGATGGGAGAGATATTTAATTACAGTCATGACGCTAAAGGGAGTGGGAGGGAAAAGGGCCAAATCGGCCACCAATTTTCTGGCCTAGCGCGACCTTCTGGCCGAGTGCGCAGAGCGTCCCAAACGCGCCAAACGTGCCAAATAAGCCAAATAAGCCAAATCAAGCCAAATGAGCCCAACATTCCCCGTCTTAGGAGTGGGAGGAAAAACGGCCAAATCGGCCGCCAATTTTCTGAACGAGCGGACCCACCATTTGCGTCTTCAATAGGGGTGGCCGGAAAAAGCGCTAGGCGTCGGCAGATAGCTTCAGCATCACATTTGTCCGTTTTTTGGCCAAACTTTTCAGCACACGTGGGTAGGCACTCATGGCTGAAATTTCCTTTCCCTCCGAAGCGCCGACGCGCCATTCTATCGCTGTGGATCTGTTTTGGACGTCTTCCCTGCCACAGGAGCGAACGAGCTGGCACATGGAACGAAGCTTATCACGTGATGAAATGTACCTGCAGAAGCGCGAGACCACTTTTCGGTGGGGCTTGGGGACGTGTTGGGCGGGCTACGCGACTGGACAAATCTTGTCCTTGGAAGGAATCCAAGCCTGGCGTGCAGCTTGCCTTCAGGGAGAAAAACATCTGCGACTAGCCGTCGTTGTTTGGAGGGCCTTGCGCGCCCTCTGATGCCTCGGTCTGTCTTGATTCTAAAGGCAGTCGCGACGTCCCGCGAGATGAGCTCTCTCTCCTAAGGCCTTTTGTCTGTGCCTGTTAAGGCCCCGATGGTGCCTCAAAGGCAACAGCATGGTCGGGTAGCCTGAAAAATGCCCCTCCACTAGCAATCCGCTAACAGCTGAGGGGATGAATAAATTTTTCCAGGGGAGAGTAACTTAATGGAGGCTCGACATGGTAGATTGCCAGCCGTAGGGTAGGTAAACCCCGAAATCACCATAACTACGAAGGGAAGATAGAATAGGGATAGGGTTTAATTACCCATCGTTTCTGATATTGATGTGGCGTGCTAAGTACGAATTCAAGTTCTACTGCGTGAGTTTTGTCCGCCACCATGTGTATGCTACCGATAACTCTGCGTTCTAACATTTCTACCCAGTCTTTGCGGCGACATCGAGTTTCCACCTCCGACATCTCATCTAAACTCATGGTTGGGTCGCCGAGCGCGACGCCTCATCCTTCATCCCGGAAGCGATATTCCGGTACCTCGAGTTTGGATAGTGAAGCCAATTGTCGGTGTCGTCGAGCACCTCCAAAGAGCGGAAGCTCGTTTCGAGGAGCGATTTCGACCCGGTCTTGTCGGCGGAAGCCTCCCAGAACATGGCTCCACCCAAGCCCAGTTGCTTCAGATAGGAGACTTTCTGCTGCACAGCTTCCGGCGGATCAAAGGATATGAGCTCGCGTGTAGTGGCATCGTAGCTGTAATACGCATGGGCCACGGGGTCGAAGTCCGGCACAGCCCCATCCTTGGGCAGCGCGCTGTAGTCCCAGACGCCCTTCTCCCAGCTGCCGGAGCCTACATCGACGAATGATTCACCGAGCCCTGCAGTTCCCTGGAACGAACGACCGTAGATGGGCATCCCGAGAACGAGTTTCTCAGCCGGTACACTAGCGTCAAGATAAGCTCTGACGGCGTCATCGGTGTTGAAAGGGGTAGCATCGGGCTCTTCGTCGTTCGCGTAGAGGTTGGCATTATGTCCGGTGTGGGTGCTCCACGATCCGGCGTAGTCGTAGGCCATCAGGTTGATATAGTCAAGAATGCGGCCGAGGTCGGCCAAGTGCAGCTTGCTGTAGTGCTCAAATCCCGCTGGGGCGGCTATGGAAAGCTGGAAGTGATGGCCCGAGGCAAATTCGACTGCATACGAGTCTAGCTCGTCTCGTACAGCCTTCAAGAGGAGGACCATGTTGGTAGCATCATCCTCGTTGGCTGGGTATTCCCAATCGATGTCGACGCCGTCGAAACCCCAGTCCTTCATTAGGGTGACCGCAGACTTCGCAAAAGTGGCTCGTGTGGTGGTGCTACTGGCGACCGCAGCAAAATTCGTGGACCAGGTCCAGCCGCCGATGGAGAGCATGACCTTGAGCTTTCGATTGGCTTTCTTGAGGAGATAGAGCTGTTTAATACATCCGTAGGCATTGTCGTTGCCTTCGACCCAAGCTTGAGCAGAGCAAATGGGGAAACGTAAGCGAAAAGGGAACTTCTTGCTTTGTGATAGACGTGGAAGCTAACAGTGAAGGGAATGGAGGAAATGAATAGCGAGGAATTGGGAAACAGCATCCGAGGGGTGTATTACTTACAATCGCCGTCGTAATGGTTCTCGAGATCGGCGTAGGTATCTTCTGTATAACTTGACAGAAAAGCAATTAGCGATCCGCAATACACACATCGCCGACAAGTACATACACTGTCCCATCCGCTTGCACATTCAAAAAAGCATAGAGAATGTGCGTCAGATGCGAAGCCGGAAGGTCTTGAGGGTGATAATCCCTCTGGTAGATGCCCCTGTGATGGGTAACCTGTTAGTCTCGCTTCCGTGCCTCTCGCTCCTATGTCTTCTCCTAAACGCGACGCCCAAGTCTGCATCACCTACCAGTTGACAAAATAGACCATGTTGATGTATCTAGTGCCACGTTTCAGAGGCTCGAGCTGATGTCGCTGCAAGACATCGGGCTCTGCGAGACCCAATAAGATTTGGAGCGTGATCAACAACGAGATCAGCTTGAAGCGGGTGAGGAACATGACTGCGATCGGAAGATGGGGTGGAGGCTGTTGTGAGATGCTCAGTGGTTAGCAAGCTAAACAGCTGTAGTACTGCAATTATATTTTGGTGTTCAGCGGAGAAGAAGAAACCGCGCAGCTGGGCAGCCTCTAGAAGCTATAGGTTCCGATCGTTTTAGAAATTGGTTGAAGATAAGCCGGCCCATTTAGGACGGTTGCCAACCGCAAAGACACCTGCCCCTCGCGATATACACCCCGGAACGTTGATTTTGGGACGTATATTATTATTCGACGGCCGATTTCTTCTAGCATCTGAGGGCTGTTGTATTAAGCCTTTCGAGTTCACCAGCCAGCCAGGCGGCCTTTTTATCGCATGGGAGGTAGCAGCCTATGTTACGCAGAGTGATGCGTAGAAGACCAGCACCAAGGTTATCCGGTACAGTACGGTATCGGCTGCCGACTGACCTGTTGGAATTGCATTATTTCCATTAATACGCTAAACCTTGTCGTTGTGCGGTGCGGTAAAGTATTGACATAGAGCATGATTCCACCCTCATCAGGCATATCGAACCGTGCGATGCATAAGCAGCAAGCTCTGTATGTGCCCGGAGCCAGAGGCTGGATGATGTCCACGATGACCTAACATGAAACAGTGTCGATGTAGGCGGTGTTTCGAGGATGGGCCTCTTGCACGGCATGGTCAAGGCTTCGAGGGTTCATCGGGCTCCCGTTGATGGGGAAATAACGGGAGATGAGATCCCTGGGGTCGTAGGTGCGCCACACGACTCTCCTCACTGCTTTCTGGCGCCAAAGTTGGCAAGATTTTTCCTTGACCCAAGGCGCTACGACGAGGATCACGGTGTAGGTGCGCTGCAAGGTGTTGTCATGAACATTTGGTTGGACGCGCAGCAGACGGAGGAGACACAGTTTGCCTCTGACAATGTTCCAACGACGGCAGAGAGAAAGGAAGAAGGCGAACTCGATATCTAAACTACATCTTGCCGTTCCTTAGACCTCTAAAGCTTAGCCTGCAGGAGATAAATATCGAATGCATTTATCAGCTAGGGCGAAGGGTTCTATTCCATTCGTTCGCCTGGGAACTTTTTCTAGCCTGCCGTACTCCATGCTCTTGTCCTGAGCCGCTATTCACCGGCCTCTATTGAAGGTAGGGACTCCGTCGCCATATCGGACCTGAGATGATCCGCCACCTGTTACGAATTAGACGAGGTACTCAGACGGCATGGAGAGAAGCGTACAATGGCATCCAAGCTTGGAACATCCTGGCCTTCCGGAATGTGCATTGCACAGACCCATGTGTGGTGGATGGGATTCCTGTAGACTAGGACACAGGCAGTATGGCCGTCTACTCCGAATTCAACGCTCTTTTTCGTAAGCGTGCGACCCCTCTTTCTGATAACGGCCTTTTGTTTCTCATCGTGCTGGTATAAGCTCTCGGTTATGGCAAGGGACGGCTCTGTTGAGGTCGGAAAAGCAGGTCTCGTAACCTCAGGTTCGGGCTCCAGTTTCACTACCGCCAGACAGCGTCTCTTTTCTCTGGTAATTCCGATGTTGGCGTCCTGCTTTCTTTTAACCTACACAGAATCAGTCACATAATTCCCGAAATCGATCGTAAAATCCCTACCACGCCAGACTTTACCACGGACGAGTGCGGCGATGGTAAAATCATCGAACGAAGTCTGCCAGCGCGTCTTGTATGGTAACCGTTGGGCTGCAAAACTAACTCCTCGGCTGCTGCATCCGGTTGGTCTGGAGGGGAAAGCTCGTTGAAGTGGCCAGAGAGGCGAGCGATGTGCCCTTGGTCTCCTATTGGAGAAAACAGCTCTGTGGCCAATCTTTGCATCGTTGGAAGGCCAAATATGTTGACCAGATCCCCAATAATCTTTCCCGCGAGTACCTCGGTTCCGTAATCGTAGGCTTCTTGCTTCTGCGCCCTTGTAGCAGCGTGATTAAGCTCTAGTTCCTTGATGTGTCGGCCATCCGAAAGTAATGCCAGCTGAACTAGCGATATATCATCTTGGGAAGGGTCGAGAGCAAACTGTTCCAATCTCCTCCTCGAACGATCGCGAAGAATGGTCAACTCTTCGTGAAACGCAGCATTCGGTTCCTGAATCCCTTTGAGATCTTGATCCCAGTTGGAGATGGAATCCCGCAACCTGACGGCACGACTCGAGCACGCCATGACGTTCCGGGTGATGGGCTTCAAGAAAGGTGGCTGCCTCAAGCTTCGTACTGTAATCAGATTAGGTTGATAAGGTGCTTTTTTCTTTCCCAAGCGCCGGTGAAAATTCACAAGTTGTGGCACAGTATTTCACTTATTTGCACGAGAACGCAGGGGCTACTTGAACGATGTGCTTTGTCAATGAAGCCAAAAATGGATCAACGTTCTGGAGAGTTTTGAGACGATAGGCGCTTGCAGATGCGCTTGGTGGAGCCTCGAGTATAATTTCGTTTACCTAGCACGTATGATTGCGTAGGGTACCAACACGACAAGTTACGAAAATGACAACCGCAGCTCCCTTTTGTTTATACATTTGAGAGTACCTTAAACTGTACACCTATGCGAGGCGAGAGTTTGATGGTATTTCTGTCACATTCTCTCTAGACCGGTCCTCGCACTCCCGACTAATCAAATCTGGTCGACTATTGTCTCTGTTTCGAATGCGTAAAGATCCCTTGGTGCATTGCTAGATAAGACAGTAGCAGGAGCAGTTGGTGCGCTATTGTCCGTAGCCGTCCCCCGCTCATTGATGCCCCCGGAATGGCTGCGATGCATCCAATAAAGACGCCTCGGGCTATGCATAGTGAATGAGTGAGAAAGTTAGCGACGAGCTCCTAAGCATCGGATCGTGCAAGGAGGGCTGGCTGCGTCGTGGTGTAAGAAGCTTTATTTGGGGCGCGTCGCTGCGGCTGTAGAAAGCCCTCACTGCCTGACTTGGTGGATCTCCCCTGAAAAGAAGTCCAACATGGCCAGACTTACCATTTTGCGAGCCGGTGGGAGGCTCATCAGCCAATTCTGCAAGACCCCGCGCGATTTGTGAAATTCCGTGGCGGTCCAAATGTCTTACGTCATTGATGGAACACGGAGGAGGGACGGCGATTATAGTTTGGAGGTGGTGAAAAGTCGAGAAAGCGGCAAAAATCTCCTTCAAATTTACATTTGATGGGAAGAGAAAAGCAACATGTCGTATGCGGGATGCCATATCCACCTCGAGACAGGGCTCCCTCGCTGGCGTCGCGGAAGAGCGTGGAATGCCTTGTATCAGGCAGATTGTACGCTGGAGGCAGACATTGACGGGAAAGTGTTCCGAGAAGCGACAACTGATCATGGCCCACTCAACAGAAGCTTCTCTGCAAGCTAGAGCTACCGACGAGACACTAGAATATTGGACAAGCTCGCAATTTGCAGGATATGCCTTGATGGATATCACCGACATATTTGCACCCAAAAGAGCAAGTTTCCATACTTGACGCCTTATTTCAGGTGGCATGGAAGGGAACTTTGGGAAAGATGATATGCAGGACATGGGCTTTGTCCGGTCTTTGTGACCTCGTTTGTGCTCGTTGTTGTCATTAAGGTTGGCTAGTACATGAAAGATCGCTGGGCACGAGGCACCTCAGGGTATTTCAGTGTCGATGCAGAGTTGATTGATATTGGCCGTCATGAGGAAAGGCCGCGGCCATTTTCGGCGAGTCCTTTGCACTCGAGCCGAAAGAGTACTTAGGTAATCCCGTAGGATAGTAGAAGGGAGGATTAGGGTTTGCTGTGTGCAAAGGTGTCTGCGGATGGAGGCTACCAAAACAGCGAGGTTTGAGCGTCCCCGGACAGTTCGGGCCGGATCGAACTAGAGAGTATCATCAACGGAGGCGTGACAAAACGGATCAGGCGCAGCTCCTTGACGGACTGTACCGTTCACAGCAACCTCATTCCGCATTTCCTCACTTGTCAACACCGTCGATCTCCATGCTACCGCCAAGTCTCAAAACGGTTCTAAGAATTCGGTCCAGCTGGTTCCACACCTCGTCATTACGAGAAGAACAGGAGCGGAAACTCTCTCCCAGGACCAAACAAAAACAACAGGCGAAGAGACGACATCCAGCCGAGCCGTTGATTCACCATCGACAAGAAGACCTGCGCAGGTCCGTCCGGGGTGGTTTACTTCTATGATACCTGGGCCGGATGTATTTACTCTACGAGACTCAGCAGCGGGTGGTCGCGTCAAGAAGCCGGGGGTTCTCGAAGAATCTCTTTCAGTTCTCGAAACTTCTCATAAGATACGACAAGAGAGAGAAATCCATTAAAAGACACCAGGTAATAATGGCAGAGGGAGTGTGGCTGCACGAGGAAGCCGGGGCAGAGATTTGACGTCAGACTTTCTCTATGTAATGATATTCCGTAGCGAAGCATATCAAAGGAGCAGTATCGGTATTCTGAGTTCATACCTAGTAAGCCATGCTCACTTAATGTGGAAGAATCGATGATAACGTCCCATTGTTGATCGCCACACAGCGGCCAATGCACGAGTCGAGAATGACGTGGAGTGTGACTAACGTAGTTTCTAGAGCACGAACCCAAGTTAAGTGAGAAGTAAAGCTTAAGTTGCTTGGTACAGGAGTATCTGAGTGAAGTTTGTAGCCAGGAGCAAGCACCGCCTGTCCATTGGCTTGTAGGAGAACCGTGACATAAGCAATGTAGCTTATGTTAGTACCCATCCCATGTTTGCCAGAAGCCCTTTGCTCTGCATATCTCCTGTCGCCTTTCGAATTACCAGCCTGACTGGGTCGAGGGGCGAATGTGCAGAGGCAAACGTATCAGGCGGAATACGCGGGTAGAGGAGGTTGGTCGTTTGGGATTGCAGCCCTGTTTACGCTTTCTTCCAAAGCCATTTCATATGTGGGAGGAGCTGCATCCTGGTTCGTCTGGCATGATCGGTGAGCGTACCGTGCGACTCCCGTTCCGTTCATAATTCCAACAGGAGGGCCAGGACGGCTCGAATCGTAGTTGAAATTGCCTGTATCACGTTCATCCGCGGTGCTGACAGGTTCGGGTTGGGTCTTCGACTGGAGATGATTCGCGATCTGGTTTTCCACATCTGCCCTCTGCTCTACCGTGACTTTCTCAGTCTTGTGCATTCTGCGCCGACACCCTGTTTTAATGCGTGCCCAGGCTAAGGGAACCCAAGCGAGAGAAAGCCAGGCATTCCGACTTCCTCCATGGCGCGTGGAGTGAGAGGCAAATGCGCATGAGCCAAGCGATATCAAACACAACAACACCAGAGCAATAGGCCAACACAGCGCGAGCATCGAGGCGGCGATAATGGCAAGGCTCCACAGGCGTATGTCTGCCTTGAGACGCGGCCATTTGTGAGTAGCGTTGACGAAAAGTATATGGGCAGTCAATACAGCGGGTAAACCCCAGAAGAAGATCGAAATCGTGGTTACGATAATGATCTCGGCTGGGCCCATGCTGAAAAGCCACTCACGGTTGTTGCTGTTGTTGTAGAGGCCTAGTGAGCATGTGTATGGAAGGGGATCGGGTAGACGTCGTGGTATGGTTTCGCTCGAGCCCAGGTGTCAGTGATACGGGACTTTCGAGAACTGTTACTTATGTACTCCGACCTTTATAGCGTGAAATGCTTCATGTGTGATGTAATATCTATAAAAAAAGGCATCCAGCCATTCACTCAAAGCATACTGTACTTGGACTGGTATGTCTTGTAGGCAAGTGAGCCCAATGAACGATTGCGTTGACAATATCATTGGAGTCCATCCCTTTTCTGCCCTTGAAGATGCAAACGGGGGTGGCGAGCAAAGCCGGTATAGGCCGAGGTGACCATTGATGAGTCTACCTTCAGCCGACTAACACGCGATGTTGTTCGATACAGGGTAAGATCTGTTACGTATGGACCGAAGCAAGAAAACCACACGTTCAAAATCATCCCAACCCGGCCCCCAATGACGCGGAAAAGGAGGCATGCAAGTACCTCCTTCTACTTCACAGAACCCGGCCTGAGTACCTCATGCAACAGCCAGGATAACCCTTGGCTTTATCGCAGCGAGCAGCAGGTCCAGGCCGAATTTCTCCCAGAGAGCGACCCTCTGGCTGGGGTGACACGTAGGTCGGACACTAGCTCATGGATCACTAGATGGAGCAGGAGTTGGATCATCGCAGTACCTGTTCCTACAGCTACCCTCGCGGAAAGGTTGGATTCTGTTCATTACAACATGTGTAGTTTCACATGCAGAGCGCTCATCGGCTATGCAGTAAATAAACAGGCGTTCCAGTTGCATGAAGGTCCGGGAAAGGGGCCAGGCAAGTCGAGCGACTTTGCCTCCAACTGCCATCCAATACGCACTGGCAACACCCGGGGTATTAACGTGGATTATTGGGCCCATACGATATGCCTAACCTAATCGAACATATGTCGTAGTATCTAAGTTTAACAACTTCATTTCTTAAGTCGTGAATTTCAAATTTAAGCCTCTGCTAGCTTTCTTACTATCTATTTCCTGCGTTACCTAACTTTCCCTTACAAGTCCTATGATATCTATAATGAAGAATACTTTCGAAGCTTGCTTCTTCCTGCTTATAGCCTTCCTTGACCGTTGAAGGAGATCGTGGCGAGTCCCGAGCACGATCCGGGAGCATTTACGCGTCTATCGTAGCCTGCACTTTATATATCAGACATCCGGCCCGAGCCGTCCCTTCAATTCCGATACTATCTTTACCTAAAGGAGTGTAAGTATTGATGTTAAGACGACGGAGGCAACTTATATGACTTCCAAATCTGGTAAAAGATAGATTGGCATGATGGCCCATCCGGTCCCAGTGGTTGCCTTATTTTTTTGTTCATCGCCCACGCAGTCCTGAGCCCATGAAATAGAGTAGTCAAATTTTACCCCCCCAGATGTCGTTTATTCTGCTACTCGGTCCGGCACTCTTAGCTGTCATGCTTCCTTTCCCGGCTGGTCCCTCACGCCAGGTCTTTGCAGTCTTCGCCACACGTGCCTCACAAATCTTCGCGTGTCCTAGCAACTCTTTTGGCTTCAGGCAGACCATGTCTGACAGAGTGGTCTGGCTTGCTAAAGCTGTCGTCACTCTCGTCGTCTTGGCCTTTTCCGATGGGGATGTAATAAAGCCAGTTGATCGTTCCGTCTCTTTCGTTGGTTCGCTATTTAACACGGGAGATGAGTTGCCGACGTAATCGTTCGTTCTTGTCTCGTATTCGTGGTCGGTGCCGTGGTTGTTTTGATTGCAGACGTCTCAGCCGAAGACTATGTCCTGGTCTTTGCCTGGTTCTTTTTACTTGTTGTCTTCTCCGGAGCCTTGGTGTCCGAGGTTGGCTCCTTGGTACGTTGCTCCGCTGGTGTCGGTGCATTGGAGTTCTTTGTAGTGCTTTCTTCTGATGCGTCTTTGCTAATTATGGATGTCGCCGAGGACGCCGTTCTTGGTCCCTGACTCGGCGATGTTTCTGTCAACGCATGATCGATCGATTCGTTGTCCTTCATGGTCGACGATTGCGATGTTTGGGTGGAAACTTTGCGTTCTTTCTGTCCATCAAGTCCTGGAAGATGGTCCCGAATCGCACTTCGTCTCTGATCCTTCTGGCCAGACAGTCTTCAGAGATGTATCTGTTGTTCTGGTTGGTGATGATGGATCTTGAGTTCTACGCGTTATCAAGGTCGATGCAGAGCACCTTCTGTAGACTGGTGTTGTCCGCCAACATGGACGAGGCTGTCGATGCCAGTTTGCCAGATGACGAGCCTTTTGATTCATGGGCGGTTCGGATAACTGAAGTAAAGGGGGGCAGCCCATTGGTCCAAACAGCCGAGTGCCTGGCTTCTTGAGCGGAATCCGATAGAAGATGTTTGGATAGATCTCGTCAATATTTACTCCAGGATTCAGCGCTTCGATTTCCTCCCGTCTACACCGAGCTCATTTAATACCGGCCGGAAGGATTGGCCATCCTCGGGGATCCAATGACCATATTGCAAAGAGCAAGCCTTGGCAAGTGATATATAGATCAATATACGAAGCTTTTTCATGTTTTTGATAGCTCGACACATGGCTCCAGATGGTCTCCGTAGCTTCACGTACTTATGTAAACCCAAAGAGCCATGCGATAAACGGACGCGGAGGCACCAGGGAATAGGTGATGGCTCTTTTTTGCTCCTATCCTGCCTCCATCTAGAGTGTCTCTCTGTAAGGAGGTTCATTGGTTTGAACCTTGCCATATGCAGAATACAGAAGTAGCCGGGGATTGGCCTTAGTAAATCGTGCTCTCTTTCGAACAGGCCTTCCTTTGGTTGCCGGAAGATATACGCGGGCACATACGCTTCTTTCATCAATCGGTATGTTCTGGATCGAGACATGACTTGACATTCGAATCGCCCCTTGTGCACGCTAACTGGCAGGGCAAAGCGCAATCACTTCTCAAGTTCTACATGTACACAAGAATTTGCCATGGAGGCAGAGAAACCGACCGAAGCGACGGAAGTCGTCATATTGCAGGTATACGAGTGGCTCTAAGCTTTAAAATCTGGAAAGACGCAGTTTGAAAATATAAACGTCGAAAGGCAATGGGTAGCTTTCGAAGGCATCTTGAGCGTTTTTTATCCCACGTCTTTCTGCCGAATTCAATGACTATAACAGTGAAGTATGCACGTACATACAGCGGGACATTCTTTGGATTTGGTTGGGGCTGCTGCAAGCCCATTTTGATTAGAGCTCGTCATCATGAGAGTCGAATCCGGTCGAGATCAAAACTAGGCAATAATTCGAGACAATGAGCCGCTATCTGATGTCTTGCCGTACCTACCAAACAGACCTTTCCATCACCCTAGCTCTTCGTTCTGGGATATGCAAACATACAAATAGACTTTAATAGGGCATAAGTTACTCTGCAATTTGGCTGTGTCCCCTTTGGCTCCCTACTTTTTCGATTTAGCTTAGAAACGACCCTGCATTCACCGTTCACACCAGGCTTGCAGCATCATTCCCGCATTCCGCTCAAGGACCAGCCTCTTTCTCAGCTGAAATGTATCCCAAGTATTCCGAATTAGCGGTCTCCAACGGTGTGGTCGCGAAAACGCGGGTCAATAGAGATGTCCGGCTTGTTCGTCGCCACTGGAGGCTAGCCATTGGGGCTTACTTGACCATGGTCCTGGCCGGTACTATGGCGTGCGCTACGTTCGGTGAGTTGGGGCGGAAAAGCTTGGTGCTATTGACACTGACATAGCACTTTGACAGCGAATGTGAAACCTTTCGACCTGGCAAAGAGGTCGTGGGGAGGTTTCGAGGAGCGCCCCACGACCGCCAAGTGTTATCATCAGGAGCGGACCGCTATGATCCTGTCTTTCCTGCTGGGCTCAATCGGAGTAGATCAATTCTACGCCCATCATTGGCCTCTGGCCGTTTTCAAGCTACTCACTCTTGGTGGCGGCGGAATCTGGTGGCTTGTTGATGTTATTCTTTGGATGGTTGGTGGCGTTTATGGAACTCCTGGCTGCCCTGGTGGGAGCAAACATGGCTGGCAGTACTAGATAGCAAACCAGGGACGGCTCGCCAACTTTGGGCTCTTGCGATACGAAAGGGAGAATCGGGATAGGTTTTGAAGCCACCGTCTGTGGAGTAGCCGGCAAATCTAGGGGCTGGACATTTTCTTGAAATAAATTTCATGCTGGATGAGGAGGTTAGAGTTGTGACTATTTGGCCCTGTTGAGAGTGAGGATGTCAATATGCTCGAAAAGGGATGTGAGACACGCCTTAATCTACGGATCGGTTAATGAATAATGGGTAGCCAACGCACTTGGTCGCCCGCGATGGTGGCCTAG